TGTCACTCCTACGAGATGAAAAGTTGATGCGTGTAAGACTATTCGACAGAAGCGCCAGCTCCGAGGGTATTGTACCTGACAATCCATTGAGATCGAGGTTGAGTGCCGTGTAGATGAGGTTGTCGTCGCAGGGGAGGGAACTTCCTGCGGAGTACCATAGACATTCATTCTCCATGCTCAACCATCGATCATTTCGTCTCCAGTTGTCTCCATCAGTACTGAAATACAGGGTCGCCAACGAAAATCGTTGGAGTATTCTTTCCTCAGTATATTGGTCTAGATTTGGATCATTGGTAAGCCAGTCCAATGCAAGGAATTGGGGCGTTCGGACATCGCCCCAGTCTTCCTCGAGGCTTGGCCATTTATTAACGAGTAACTCTCTAGCTTCTTCTGCAGAACCATGCATTGATGTTCCGGATGGACCAGAAGTAGTTGGAAATGACGGAAGTGGAAGAGGACTTTCCGTGGGAGAATCTTGTGTAGGGCCAGACATGGGTGGGGAGGATGGGTCGGCCACAGGAATGGTGGGGGTAATCGGTGATAGTGGTGGAAATAGAGGTGGTACTGTCTCCGTTGGCAACGTAGATCCATTGTCTCCATCATTGTACCAAACCAAAAAATAGAGTGGTAATCCTATTGCTGCAAATAAGAGCAAGACTATTGATCCTCGAGAGCAGCATCTGAAGAACTCCGGTGCCTTGCTGGGACTCTTGCTAGATGCAATAAGCTTTTCGGCCACAACATTAGCAGAAGAGGAGCTGTCGCTGTTGCTATCGCTGTCGCTATCGCTATCGCTGTGAAGTTCACTTGATTGGACAAGAGGCTCCATCTGCTCTTCTGGATCGTGTTCTGACAAGCTTGCGTTCAAATTATGCAGTCCATGGTTCATGAAATCGTCGTCATAACCCTTGTTTCTGACCTTGTTATGATCATAATCTGAATTTTCAGAAATGGATCCATGGTCTTTCGAGATGTCATGGGAAGCCTGGTAAGAGAACTCGTCAGACTTGTCGTCTTCCAACATGGCCAGAATCCCCCCAATCGCCACTGAATCAGAACTATCTTCGGAATCACTTTCAAAAACCCCTGGTGTTAACAATTGTTGTGAAGACCCCATATCTTGGTGATTGGTATGAGGGTGAGCTCCTGAAGGCATTGCATGAACTTGTCTTCCATTGTCAATTTCTGTTTGTGAACCTTTCTTGCCCTTCACTGCTGCAGCCACCAGTGGCTTGGAAACCAAACCCTTGGGTGCAGAATCAAGCACTTTGCCACTACCCAAAGAGGCATTGCTGTCACTGTCATCATTTTGCTTTGGCTGGTTCAGTCCCTCCAAGTGTGACCCATACTGGGCATTTGATTCTGATTCCTGCTTGCCCTTCACTGCTGCAGCCAGGAGTGGCTTGGAAACTAAAACCTTTGGAGCAGGATCAACACTGCCCAAAGAGGCACTACTGTCACTGTCATCATTTTGTTTTGGCTGGTTCAGTCCCTCTAAGTGTGACCCATACTGGGCATTTGTTTCTGATTCCTGCTTGCCCTTCACTGCTGCAGCCAAAAGTGGCTTGGAAATGAAAACCTTTGGAGCAGGATCAAACACTTCATCACTGCCCAAAGAGGCACTACTGTCGCTGTCATCATTTTGTTTTGGCTGGTTCAGTCCCTCCAAGTGCGACCCATACTGGGCATTTGATTCTGATTCTTGTTTGCCCTTTACAGCTGCAGCCAAAAGTGGCTTGGAAACCAAAACCTTTGGAGCAGGATCAAACACTTCATCACTGCCCAAAGAGGCACTACTGTCGCTATCATCATTTTGTTTTGGCTGGTTCAGTCCCTCCAAGTGCAACCCATACTGGGCATTTGCTTCTGATTCTTGTTTGCCCTTTACAGCTGCAGCCAAAAGTGGCTTGGAAACCAAAACCTTTGGAGCAGGATCAAACACTTCATCACTGCCCAAAGAGGCACTACTGTCACTGTCATCATTTTGCTTTGGCTGGTTCAGTCCCTCCAAGTGCAACCCATATTGGGCACTTGTTTCTGATTCTTGCTTGCCCTTTACAGCTGCAGCCAAAAGTGGCTTGGAAACCAAAACCTTTGGAGCAGGATCAAACACTTCATCACTGCCCAAAGAGGCACTACTGTCACTGTCATCATTTTGTTTTGGCTGGTTCAGTCCCTCCAAGTGCGACCCATACTGGGCACTTGTTTCTGATTCTTGCTTGCCCTTTACAGCTGCAGCCAAAAGTGGCTTGGAATCCAAAACCTTTGGAGCAGGATCAAAAACTTCATCACTGCCCAAAGAGGCACTACTGTCACTGTCATCATTTTGTTTTGGCTGGTTCAGTCCCTCCAAGTGCGACCCATACTGGGCATTTGATTCTGATTCTTGCTTGCCCTTTACAGCTGCAGCCAAAAGTGGCTTGGAAACCAAAACCTTTGGAGCAGGATCAAAAACTTCATCACTGCCCAAAGAGGCACTGCTGTCACTGTCATCATTTTGTTTTGGCTGGTTCAGTCCTGCAAGGTGGGACATTGCCAGACTTGGAGTCATAACATCATATCTACCACTACTTGCCAATGCAAGGCCTGTGCTTTTCGAAATGCTACTGTTTCCTTCTTCCATCTTTCCCATTGGTTGCAAAGGCACAGAATCCCCATCACTCTCCCTTAAAGAATAGCTGTCTCCGAAGCTCTTCTGCGACAATGAGTCACTTTGTGTTTGTGTGCGCCTGCTGCCTCTACTCCCAATGGATAACCTAGAAGAGTTCAGGAGAGTCATTCCTCTTCTCTTGCTATGTTGACCAAATGATTCTTCCAACACGTCTTTTGACTCTTCCAAGACACTGGTTTCCCACATATCCACTATGTCCCCATCCACACTTTCCGATATTTCGGCTTCTTCAATGGTTGACTCACCCGGAATGATCCCAATGTTTTTCTCTGCTTGAAACACTGCAGTAGAAGCAAGCTTGCTATTGGCTTCCAATTGTTTGATCCTATCTTGAACGGTGCCAGATTGTTCTTCTGTTTGTACTAAAGGTGGAGGAGTTTTAGTTGATTGTAAACCTCCAGCTTTTGGAACTTTCTCTTCGTTTCTTCCCACTCCTTCATCATAAATCCCTTCAGGAGATATCCCCGTTGTAAATGCTATGTTTTGGATATCCTTCTTTGTTTCAGTGGCCCCTGTGTCACTGGTCGCACCTTCATCTGCGCGGTTGCCTAATGCAAGCTCCTTTCCTCGATATGGTGCGGCGTTATCTTTAAGAGTATGCGTCTCTAATCTTTGCGGCTGTATCGAATCACGAAGCGGTACTTGCTTGCTCGTTTCATTTGGAGAACGTCTCTCTGTTCCATTTTCCATTGCAAGTGGACCAAGACCACTGGAAGGTTTCCCTTCCGATTTTACCATGACATGATCAGCGCGTTGCGATGGTTCAGCAGTACTATGACTCTGTTGTTTTTGGTGACTGCTACTTCCGTGGCTACTACTGGCTTCCAGCTGAAGTCCCATGCTGGTATCCTCCTCGGACGTGGTGCCGTCGACAAACTGGTGGGGAATAGGACTTTCGGTCGAAGAGTCGTCTTCCTCACTGCTACTCCCCAACAACATGATTTCCACCATCTCCAGATCTTCTTGTGGTATGCGGTTTGATTTGAGTCGATCTCTGGGAGAGTTTGATTTTCGTCGTTTGTTGTTGGATTCCAGTGTCGGAGAGGCAATGACCTCTTTTTCCCTTGTTTGTTGCTCCGATGCCGAATACCGATAGGAATACTCCAAGGGCGGCGGAGCTCCTATCTTCATGGTTGGCTTCTTTTGGGACTGCGCTTTTCGCCAGGGAGCAGCATCTTCTTTGTCGTTTCCATCGTTGGTAGAGAGATATTTACGGTACTTTTCATATGTTTCCTCTCCACTGTTGCTGGAAGATGACGATGATGTCAATGAGACAGAAGAACTTTCCGCCGCTTGACCTTCCCCAACGGCATCTTGGACCCGATCCCCTTGACTGCGACTTCGACTTCGTCGACGATAACTGTTGTACATGGTGGGAGCATGGAGGTCAAACACTTCGGTGTCATCAGCAATCGATTCCTTCGTTCTGGAAGGGGGCGATCGACCAACCCGTTGCGGATATTGGGTGGCTGTTGGTGCGGTCGTTTTTGTTGCGGTTGTTGTTGAAGTCTTTTTCCCTCCTCGAGACGACTGGCTATCCCAAGGTGGTGAAAACCGTGATCGCGGCACGCCTGCCGGCAGTGGACTCTTTGCAGAACCCGACGACGAAGACGACGTACGATGGAACCTTTTATGTCGTTGTGACGACGAGCTAGAGGAGGACGGGGAGGACCCATCCGATCCTACCAACGCCGGTGATGGAGACGCTTTTGCAGTGTTGACTGGAACAGTCTGAGGTTGATTGGGCGATAATTGCGGTGGCTGCTGCTGTTGCTGCTGCATCGGTCGTGTGGGGGGAGGAATGGCGTTGGATGGCCCATTATCCTCCTCGTCGTCTGCAACCAGTGTTTTCTTGATTCTCAATTGCCGTGGTTTGTTCTTTTTCATGGATGTACTGGAGAAGCGGTATGAATCGTCCTCATCGTTGACGTCCACCATGTTGTCAATAAGATAAGCTCGATGGATATTGTCTGTTGACGAAAAAGAACTGTCGTTTTACGATCCTGTGCAACAACTACTGCTATGGACAGGATGATCGGCGTATGTGTAGATGGAGCATTTAACTCAATTGGAGTGCGTTGGAATCAAGACATTGAGAAGACATTGGTGTGGAATCGGTGACGACGATGAAATCGGGGGGGGAGGGTGGGTGGACGAAGCTAGCTACTGTCGGTCTCATTCGTAAAGCTGTTGTAGATCCTTTTCTGGCATCAAAATTTGGCGCTTGTCAACGGAGAACTCAACTCATCGTAACAGTAAGTACTCGAAGTAGTCCACTAGCTAGCTCGAGTAGGGTTAAAAGTTCTTTCGTCATTCGTATCGTTGTGTCGGAATCGTATATACCAACATGACAGCACCGCTTCCCGTCCGCTCAACGAAGTTAAGCATGATCGGGCCCAGCTAGTACTATGGTAGGAGACCACTTTGGAATCCTTGGTTATGATTTTTTTTTGCGTATTGTTTTCCCTTTCGGTTACCTTGGTTCCGAAGAGAGCTACTCAAGTTATTAGCAGTATTTATGGCTATTCATAGTACAGAATACATTTTTGTTTTGTATCATACAATTGGCTCATCTTCAAGTACTTGGTACTTTCATGACGCTCTTGACAGGGAAGGGCATCTTCTACAGCAACGTTCTCTACCGTAGCTTGTCGCTACCTAGTAGAGACTCCCCGTACTATGATACGACGTCGGAGTACCGATATCCCTTTTCTACTGAAGTCGTTTGTACGTCATCCATAACTATGCTACGAGCAGCCGTACCGTACTTTTGTACCGGCATTCTGAAGTTCTTTTTCATTTTATCTTATCTTTTTCATGAACCATGGCGTTTAGATTATTCAATATGACGAAATGAATTATGAAATACTCGAAATGTTTTTATATTCAAGATACTTCACTTTTTTCGCCATTGAACGACCGTCCGTTGCGAGTACGGTTGGTCGCGCAAACTAAATGTTGAAGCCGCATGTGTTAATCCAACAGTCGTCGAATCGACGAATTTTCTTTTCCTAATTCAATCCAACCGTCTACCATTATCAATTACGAAGTATTTGGACACCGACATTGGATGCGGTGACGGTGCGGGGATCGATCCCGTGTGTATGCTGACATTTGACTGTGAAGCTGTGAGTATGATAATGACCAATCCAAGAAGCGAAAGGAAGAACAACACCTCCAACAATATCAGCTCTCCCTCTTGTCATTCAATCATTTAGTAGGCAACAACTAGAAATAAATACTTCCAGAGGAGCTTTATTAGACGACCATCAAATACAAGGACGTTCGATTGTCGTCTGGCCGATTGCCAACATATTTCACATTAATTTTGTGAAACATAACCACATTATTCTCGCTAAAACTTGGAAATGAGCCAGCAAGATCAACTGCGGAAGCATTTACAGCAGCAGCCGTCCCCCGGTCGACTGCCTCGACCCTCTGATGTTCTGCAGCATGGATTTGGTTCCCCCGAGGGAATGGAATTGACTGATTTTCCTACATCCAACGATGCAACGACAACACAATCATCTCCCCAGCAAACTTTGCAGGGAGCTCCTACCACCTCTACCGAATCATCGAGTCCGTCTCCTCCTGGACTATCGGCTGCTGGTAGAAGAGATGAGACACCGCCGTCGGCTGCTGCTACTCCTGTTTCGCCGACTGCCGAAGTTACCACTACATCACAAGCATCGTCTCCCTCGGGTACAGAGGATACGCCCTCCAAGCCTAGGAAACGACGGCTATTCTTCACACCGTCTCCTCGAAAAACGTCAGGATCAGCCTCCCCCGGAGCTTCATCTTCTCCAGCTGCTCTAGCAGCTGTATCGACAGGGTACACCACACCTCAACATTCAGAACCTAGATCACAATATACACCACCGATATCGGCACCCAGTGCTTCCAGCGATACTCAGATATCTGCCAGTGGTGGTCCCTCTCGACCATCGTTAGGGCGAGTTACTACCGGTCGACGAAATCGCCCACCGCTGTCTACACCTCTCTCGGGACTCTCTACGACGCCTCGATCTAGTCGACAACAAACGGATCGGCGAACGTTCAATCCACTCAATCGAATTTCTGATATATTTAGTCCTCAGTCTCCCTCCTTTTCACGAACCTCTCCGGGTTTGACTCCAGTAGGACAGGAATCCTCCTCTGACGATGTCTCGTCGGCATCCAGTGACAGTTCTGCAAGTAGCGTCAAGGAACCATTTACTGAACAAGTGGAGCGACTCAATCAACTCTTGGCAACACCCGCGCAGCAACTGGGCGAGTTGGGACGTACCACTGGTATTGTTGGGGAAGAAGACGATGATTTGGATTCGGAAATGAGCGACTTGGAGTCGAGTCGGCAAATGTTGGCACAAGAGTTGTCGAGAGTTGACTTTTCATTTTTGGGTGACTTGGGCCCGTCCTCGCCCGGATCACCAGCCTTTGGTGCAGTGTATCCTTCTTCACCGGAAGGTATGGGGGCAGCGGCGACACCGTCTAAAGATGATTCAGGTGAAGTCGACACAAGCGGGGAGGATTGGATACCTCTGTTGCCATCCGAAGGTAGCTACGAACCGAATTTTTCACCGGCAATGAGACAACAATCGTCACCCAAAGTGACTCCACCTGCAGCAGCAAAATCATCAAAAGTGACTTCCAAGAAGAAATCTTCTCCCAAAACTTCCGGTAGTGACGTCGGAATACCGAAGAGTGGAGGAAAGGGCATGTTTGGTCGGTTTTACACCTCCATAAACACTCCTCCACGCGAAAAGCAGGAAGATAGAAGAAAACCTCCGCCGTCCTCAACGCTGCTTGATCCATCTACTATGACACATGATATAGCAATAGCCAAGGAGGAAGGTTCCAAAGCGGTGGCTTCGACGTTTCCCCCGAAGCCCATTCAATCGTCGTCAGTTGAAGCACAGCAATCACCCGATAGGCTTCCAGCATCTTCAACAAATAGTTTGAAAACTCCTGATCGCCTTACAACATCATCTCCTGCATATTCACCATTCAATCCATTTGGTCTAGAGACCCCATCACCCAGAACCGAGTCGGCAGTGGGAGAACAACGAGTGGATCACAACATCACACCACCATCTAGTGTTGAGCAAGTATCGTCGATTGGTACGGGTGGAATTTCCGAGATCAGCCACAAAACACAGCCCAGTGTAGGAGGGAGTGGGAATATTTTCCAGTCTATTGCTTCCTTTGGTGCTCGCCTCGCGGAAGGCAGCGGTGGATCTCAAAATGAGCCTGCTCCAGAACTACTTGGAACGCGTGTTGGAGAGATGGGCGACAATTCGTCCCGCATTTTGGAAGAGCTTGCTTCGATTTTGAGTCCTCCAAGACAACGAATGGATGTGGAGAGCCAACAACGACCGCCTGCAGTTACGCCAGGAGATCAAACGCCCTACTTTGGGAGAAGGCTGGACGAAACGTTCGATTCTGTGGAAAGTGATGGGACTGATCGCTTGACATCTTTGCTTGGTACCGAGTCAATGGACACGCCAAGTGACGATCATATGAGTACGCCACAACAGCAAGGATTGCCATCTATGCTCGATACAAGAAATTCCGCGCAACCGTCTCATAGAAGATTGGATGATGAGATAGATACACCCGTACCAAGAGCGTTTGGGCAAGAAACGTTTGTCACACCACCACAAGGTCGTTCTCAGTTGCCTTCGCTGGTGGATGAAACATCTACAGCCAAGAAACAGGGAGCTGAAGCACCCGGTGTGGGAGAGCTGAAGGATAACTCTCCTTCCACTTGGGGGGAGCTCGTGACCTTTTCTGTCTCGAAAAATAGTGGAGAGACAAGCCCAACACCAACATTGCTCATCCACGAAGCGCCGACAGTAGAGTCGACGATTGAAGAGTCTGTGATGCCGTTGGTGTCTCATGCACATATTCAACAAACTCCCGACGGCGGCGAGAGAGTTACACTGGCTTCTGGCCAGGAAGTCGCTGAAGAAGGGGAAACGAATCAAGGACAGGGGGAAGAAAAGGAATTGAAACCTGGCACCACTTTGTTCCCAAGTCAGACGATGGGAAGCCCAATGGCTACACCTCGGCATCCATCCAATGAAATCGAAGACCGATCACCAAGGACCCATAGCCCAATTCATTTAGAGAGCATCGCTAGACCGAATGACCGCCTCGGGCGACCACCACGACCTCCGGTTCTTGGTTCTTTCCCCTCCTTCAAACGCCAGTCCAGAGATGAAGTACAGTCTGACATCAAGCACAAAAAGAAACAACATTCTTCAACAACGGAAGGTAGTACTCCAATTCCTTCAAATACCCAGAAAGAAGAGGTTACAGAAGAAGAGACACCCTTCAAAGGGACGGTACCTCGGATATTGACAGAGGATTCCGACGATGAGATGATTTTTGACCTTGAGACTCCTAACAATGATAGAGAGGAGGAGGAGTATGGACTGAGCTCCCCTCCGGAGGCTGATCCTGAAGAAGAAGCTTTGGCAGAATCGAAATCGCCAATGAGCTGCGAAACTGATGGAACCCGTGGCACGATACCAGTCAAGAGTTACTCTGTCGAGACCGTCGAAAAGGCGAAAGAAGCAGAAAGAAAACAAGGACAGGAAGTTTCTGTATGGTGTAGGATTTGTGTTCCCTTTGGAATCATTATCGCCGTCATTGGAATCGCTCTTTTGATTGGATATCTGATCGATGTGGCTCCGTCATTCCCTCTGGAGCCCTCAAGCGCTCCCACTATGGTTCTTTCTCTTTCGCCGCGTCCGACCTCAACTCCTTCTTCAGCTCCATCACCGTCCTCAGGTGTTACAACATCGGAGGCTCCTACCACCTCTGGAACTGTCTCATTCATAACTCCCTATCGAATTTTCATTCAAAATGGACTGGTTTCTCCTGTGTCTGAGTCGGAGTACATCCCTTCCTTGACAACCGCAATGGATTTTCTTACATATGACATCCTTGCCAACATTGGGAACAGTGGTAATGTTCAGAACTTGAGAAAAAGAAAGCTGATTGGTGTCCTACTGCCAACTGAGGTTGTCGAAATCATTAATGTTACATGTCCTGTTGTGACAGGAAGAGATCTCTGTCAAAGAGTTCTAGCTCAGATTGCACTGGTGGACGGCGAGGACAATTTGAATAGATTCCAGGCAACAACTGAACTTGCAATTGAAATCGGAAGACTTCAATTCCACCTTGATGCCATCGATCCTTTTTGTCCTGCGGAAGTGGTGGATTCAACGTGGGAACTTCCCGCTCCTTCCCCGTTCGCCCAACCAACGTTTCCACCATTACTCGTACCGAGCCAGAGCCCCTTCACAAACCTCTCACCTTCCTTGGTCCCAAGCTTTAGTCCTATTGCAGCTACGGACAGTACCTCGTCAAGTCCCTCCAACACAAGGGAAACTGACACACCTTCGTCTGCGCCAACCACATTTAACTTGTTTGCGTTTTTGAAA